TGCCAGGATGAGAACCTCAAGCTTATGTAGATTTAAGGTTAAGGATTCATTAGAATTTCGGGCTTAGAGGTTGGATTGCCCGAAGCGTCCTGGATACTCATCGGCTCTCCGCCGTCACCTTTGCTAAGACCAGCCTAGATATAGTCCCCCTAAAGTAGATAGAATATGGGGTATATGGGGATCTTGTTATAATATACCCTAAGCCATATTCTATCTACTTATGGGGGACTATATCGTGAAGTGTCCCATCAAGCAGCACCGGAACCAACAGTTGCCAGGCAATGGCACCTTGTGTAGAACCTTGCTTGCGTTGCTTACTGGTTCTCAGTAGGGAATATGAGGGAATTTACCCCCTACATACTGTATTCCCATAGTCCCCAGAAACCTCCAGCTTCGAGCAAAATCAGCAGCACTTCCCGTCAAACTCTGCACCCTAATTAGTTTAGGGTTTAGGGCTGCAGCTGAGGCACAAGTTCTGCGCACGAATCGACTGCGACTTGATAGGCCCGATGGGCTCAGCCCCGAAGCTAGGATGGATGGCCTGCACTGCAAGTCGCTTGCTGCTCAGAAACTTAAATGAAACTACCGTACTAGCGGCATATAGGATATGATAGGATTTCCTTGCTATGGAAATTTAATTTAAGTTCCTTAACCTCAATTCAGGCAAAGAGATTCGAGAGAGGCGCCAAGCCCTGACCTTCTGCTTTGCAACAATCTACTGCCCCTAAGGTTGCCCCAACCATGTTCATGAACATTCTGCGAGAGATCAACATTTTGTGGTGGTTGGTGTGAAGGGGGGAGGGGAGTGCACCACCACCCCCCCCCTCCCCCCAGCATCACGTCCAGGCACCACACCACCCCCCCCAAACACCTTCCCCACCACCACCACCACCCCCCCAAACAATTTGAGGACCCTGAATCAAGAATTGTTTGAGGGGTCTCGGTTTTAGGAATTGGGGCTTCTTAAGCTCTGAGTTATCTGATGGATAGTAATTAACTTTTGTACAAAACTAA